GGATCGTTTGGGCTGGCCACAACCAGAATTATTCAACAGTGACGTTTACCAGTACATGAATCGATTCGTTATATCAACATCCACTCTGGCAACGGAAACAGTAGTTCTTGGTGGATTTGGTCCGGTAGTTTCGGATGGTTTTGGAATTGCCTACAACGTTGTGCCAGCGAAAATGGGCGCTGTTATCTTGTCTTATAATGTTAGTTTGTTTAAGAATTAACATCTAAACCAAGTTAGCTTAGGTCGATAGCATGAAAATTGTGCCTCTAAATTCTTCCATAGTTGCTCTGACTAATTAAAATCGCAGTCGATGGAATGTATAGGATTTGATGGACTTCTCGTGGATGGTGTCGTTATCAAAAAAGGTTGTGCACCGGAAGGGAATTGAACCACTCCTTTTCACATCCGGACGCAACGTGCTATCCACAACACCACTGACCCATGTACTCTATTCTGTCTGCTGGTGCACCTATATTCTGTATGTATGGTTCTCTCATACAGGCCCTGTAATGTCTGGTTACCGCACCTTGTGCAGCACATCCTTTCAATATTTAGTGGCTTTTTGCGGGCTTTCCACAACAGTACTATTTCAAATTTCGTTTCTGTACTTCAGACTTATTAAATTTTGGGATTGAAACCGTAGGAATTACAAGTCAGGCTTTTCGTGGGTTTTCTGCAACAATAGTCGTATTACATCTGTTTCTCGGTGTATAAGACTTCTCCGTGCAAATCATATCTCAGTCTATTATTCGTGTAGCAAGAAAATTGTCCCTTCAGTAATTGCCAGGGGCATCTGTACTGAGGAGAGGTCCTGTGGCATTTAATTTTATTTGTAAATAATTAATTTCCTTTTAGTTTATGCATAATTGAACGTGAATGTTTGGTGCTTTCAAAACATTTTGCTTCCAAAATGTATCTGTCCGAACAAAAAAGATTTTCTGGAAGACTAGGGTCACTGCTGTCAAACATCGCTGATGATTTTAAGGGTTGATAAATAAAAGTTGATATAACTATTTTATTCAGATCAGCATACTTGCTTTAAAACTACGTACCTCTGCTGATTTTTGTTTCATTATTTCAGGGGCAGCGTGATGCCACCATTTTTGCGGATGCGCTTCTGGAAAGTTTGGATATTTTAAAGAATACGATCGAAAAGAAATTGCTAATTTAACTGAGTTTTTGATGCGCTTCAGTTCCAACGTTTTTACCGCCTACCTGCTTTTTTTGAATTCATTTTAATGTAATTCAGTACTTTTAATCCAGGTTTGATTTTTTTTTTTTTTGGAAAGAAAAGCCTAGCCTTCAGCGGTCCTTCCTCTTGGCGTACGAATATGCAAAATCTATCAACGCCCCACGTCTGCTCTTTTAAAGGCACGTCGGATTTGTTGATATGAAAGCGCCTACCTGTCTGACTTGTCAGAAATACCTGGAACAGCTGTTAATTCGTGACATAATTCGGTTTGTGCTCTATTAACTTTTTATGTATTTATTTTTTACCAGTGATACATTGCCCGGTGGTTCTAGGGTTAGTTCTGTCTTCTCAGCGTTTCAACTTATTCATTGAGGTTTTTTGAAATACTTGGACGTTATTAGCCTTTTTATCAGCGTTTAATAAGTGTGCTCAGATTTTGTACAATGTACCAGGAATACCAGCCATCTTCCCAACTATCACAATTCACTAGCAAATTTCACTTTCCACCCTTAAAACTTAAAGAATTCAGCTGTTCTGAATTTTCTTTGGTTTGTACGGGCTGTCACTTCGGAAAGTATGGTTCAGACTACGAACGGCCGCAAAAAACCACTTGACAATTTCACCCTTTTCGACGGCCTGACTTGGGCCGTCCAATTTTGCTTCGGCCTTCTATTGCCTTTCTATACCAGGATTGCTTTGGCTGTAATTCTGGGTATCCCGTGTTAGAGATGCTACTAGGATGCTCTCACATATTGAAGACAGATATAACAGGCTCTTCGCTCCTGGATTGCTTGCCTCCAATTAGTACCAAGTGGCCAGTTCGATGTATGTACACCACTTCCGCGGGGCTCGCCCGAGTGGTCGTTTAGTTCCCCTTGAATATCGCTTACGAATACGCGTTGTCCACCGGTTGTTGGCAAGGTTCTTTCTCATTAATGTGCAATTTTTTGCTTCATATGATAAAAGCATGTTATATTTGTAAGAATACGGATATCAGTCAGCCTTGTGGGAGCAGCCGAATTTGGGAAAAAACCGGTTCTGCGAACGAAGCTTTTTCTGATTGCTCTAGAGATACCCTTATTCATGTGGGCATTTTTCACACATTTGATTATGAGAAGCATTTTCAAAAGGATAATATGAATTCTGATTGCCCAGAGGAATTATTCGTAGATTATCTGAAGGAATATCTAAAAAAATCATTTGTACTGCAGATCTTTTGTCCTGTTCATAAAAAGAGATCCTAAAAATCTAAAGTTTTTTGTCTGCCCAGTTTAAAAGAATTCGAAGTACCGTAAGCTGATGATTGTAATTATGTTATTTAATTCCTCATTTTAATGGTACTGTGATATTTCGTTTATTACTGTGTGTTCAGTTAGCCTTTTTATCAGGAGATATTCATCGGCTTCAAACAATTTTCTAGTCATTTAAGTAAGATTTCTAGTTTTCCTCCATATTTTTCTAAATTTTCAACTATAAGATAAGACTTTTTCATCTTGAATGTTTACAATACGGCATATTTATTCATCATGTAGGGCGTTTTTACTATTTCCATTATTATTTCTATCTTTTTGTATATACTTGCCATGTAGTTGGTTAAAATATTGTGAAATAAGCCCGATTTCTTGCACATTTTTGCCTTGTGAATTCGTATGCGCTAAATGCGACTTGTCTTTTATTCGAAAAAAAAGCGATCGCTCTTTTTTCGGTGAGGGAGAAAAGTTTTAATTCTGAAACAGCTCGTTAATTAGTAATTTTTTGGCTGGGTATATCTTGGTCAAAGTAAAATAGCGAACCGTTGAAAACACCTCCCTCAACATGTTGGATTTGTTGGACATGTTTCTGTAAACGGCTTTTTTTTTTTGTTTCAGATGTTACGAGTGTTCAGGTAGAGATAATTTCGTATAGATATGCTGCGGGT